CTCACCCGATTCATCTTCGTGCTGCAATTCGTCGTCTATATGAGCATGGAATTTTTACCAGGATCATAGTACAGAAATCGTACAGGACTATTCAATAAACGCTATGTATGTTTATCGTTCATATCAGAAGGCAACAAAGATACTTACGCTCTCCGCTACCCCATCAATACCGCTGTTAGTGAGATGACAAGGAATCTCTACGAATTTTGCATTTTTTCGTGAAAAAATGGCTTCAAAAAGGTTCTTTTGTCTCGTACCATATTTCGAACATTATTTTGTCTCGGACAAAAATAGAAATATTATTAACATAAAAACAACAGTGGCAGCTTGAAATACAAATCAACATCATTACTTAGATGTTCTAAACCGATATATCCAATCTAGGATCTTTGTATTGAAAATTCATGTCTGTGTATTACCAAAACTTTTGTGCATTACTTAATGTTCTGTCAATAGATTGCTCATTTTCCAGTGTATCAACATTTTCTTTTTACCAAAAGATAGTCCTGACTTTCTGCTATAAAATTCTCTCTGGCAGAATTCCATTAACATAGAGTAATTCATAGGATTTATTACTTCTCTCACATCTGCATAGAAAAGAAGATCTTTTTTATTTGTACGCTACCAACCAATATTTTACTCATAAAATCCAAATAATTAGACGGTTTACCCTCAAAATTTTAAGTATTATAGAATTTGTTTACTTACATATTTGCTGAAAATGATACGTCTTTCTCTTGTACCATTCAACAGAGATATCAGTTCGAAGTTTAACACATTCGACCCGACGTCGCCCACCGGTGGGCGACGCTATAATTTAACGAAAAATCGTATAGAAAAGCACTTTCTTTTGCTTTTTTTTAAGCAGGAGATTAGACGTAAGCTGTCATATCTTCTGTCTTCAGTACTTTGTTTGAATTCTTTATTCGATAGCATAATGCTTATCATTAAAACACTCGAGACAAAAAAATTTATCACAGTCAGAACAGAATGTTTTGACTTTCTTTGCTGCTGCATTGCTCGCTTGTCTTGACTGTTCTGCCCTTTCCTTCGCATAGCAGCCAGTACACCGTCTACCAACATTGCGCGTAGATCCTTCCTTTTCTTCGAGCTTGTGATCAGCGAATTTGCGTTTCGAATACCTTGCTGGTTGTTGCCTGGAGCCATGTTTCAGCTTCTCGATCGGCGTGCCAAGCAGTAAAGATTGGACAAGATTTTCACGAAATTGCAAGATGGTCACTTTGCTTTCGATGTAGTTCTCCTTGTATATCAAATAGCTATTTACTAGTGCCGTCCCAAAAACTAATTCAAATGCAACCTTTCGGTACCATTTTACTGATTTCCTGAGAGACGTGTAATATGTTGATAACTGGTCAGATAAATCAGTGCCTTGTCTTCCTTTATTATAATCTAATACGACTTGGGGCTTCATGATCGACTCATTTTGAAAATTTAATTTTCCACTATCTACTACACTTGCTGAATGTGACGGTCTTGTAGATATCATCAAGACATCGTTCTTGTCTCGCCACCTAATTAATTTAATTCCATCTTTGTTCTGAAGTCCACAAACTTCTCCACGACTAAGATTTTCTTCAAGAATTCTACCTCCTGATCCAACACGATTCGTTCGTAATGTTCCAATGAGATATGTATCATGTTCCAACAAACATTCCGCCAGGGAAATACTGGTAAAGAAATTATCAGCTACGACGGTTCGATAACATCCATCAAGACCATCTAATAGTTTCATTACTACTGTTTGAGCATGTCCGACACCTGCCGTTGAATCTTGCTCACCGGTATAAATTACATAATTCCAAACATAACCATTGGTCGCTGCTAATTTGTACATCTTTACACCGTACTTGTGTGCTTTTCCAGGTATGTATTGTTTGAATAAAAGTCGGCCACGCCATGGTATCATACTTTCATCTATACTGATAATTGAGCCAGGCATATATACTGATGAAAATCTTTCTTTTAGTAAATCTAAGAGTGGCTTCAACTTGAACAGTCTATCTTGGTTCGAATTCTTGTCATTGTTATTCGAAAAATGCCAAAATTTTAGGAGTGATTCAAATCTTTCTCTTGACATGGTATTTTGAATGATCTTTGATCCATATAATGGACTAGAGCTCCAATAATACTTCAGCTTCGGCATTTGTACTAATCCCATTTCAATAATTATTCCAAAGAATTTGAACATCTCTGTATTAGTGGTTGGTTTCCATCGTTGAAACATTGATCGTCTACTGATCACATGACTTTGCAAGTATTGCTGTGCGTATCGATTAGTTTCACGAACCATAAGGTCAATAATTTCGTCCGTAATGAAATGTCGATAGCAGTCGATAGGATTAATTGTGTTATCTTCTGAAGTAGAAGTTACATCCCCGATAAGCCCATGATCTTCCAAGAATTCTGCATCAGATTCTGGTTCTATTTCATTCCAGGCATATAAATTCATATTATCGTTATTGTCTTCGTCAGTAATTTCTTCGTCAGAATTGTCAAAATCAAGGTGCGTTGTATCAAACTCATCATTCAGTGAACTCACTTCACTGAATGAACTAGCACTACTTTCTGTATCGATTTCTTCGAACGACATGTGAAGTGCTCCAAAAATTCGGTTGTATTTATATGCAAAACGATATAGATAAGAGAATAAGGGAGAAAATACTGGAAATTTCTTTCTTTTTCTCACACATGCTTCGTACAATATACAAAAGAACGAAAAACTAACTTAAGCCATTAGTCACTTGGTCAGTAAAAAATGACTCATTGTTTAGTAGTATAAACAAGAGAACGACAAATAACCAGTAGAATATAGCCAAAAGGTCATTAAGTGCATTTATTAGAAGATAATTGTTCACGAAAATGAACAATCTGAAAAAAATTTTACAAAAACTGAGTCGGGTCGAATGTGTTAAGGATCTAAATAGTCCATCAATGTATGAAACAGGTATTGCTATGAGTGATCTTTCATGTTTTATAAATAGTGATCTTGCACGTGATTTAGCTTAATGAGATAATGACGCTTGTAAGAAATAATTGTATTTTTATTTTTATTTATTTATTTAAATAAATTTTTTTAGATGACATCAACAAAACCATATATTCGTAAATGAGCTATTCTACTTTTATATAAAATATTTCTTAATAATCTTGATGTTCTTAAATCAGCATTTCCACGTTTAAATGAAAAACTTGAAGATTCCGATTCAGATAAATTGATTAAATAAAAAAAAGAGAATTTTAACATTTTATTTTCAGATGTATAAGCAGCTGCTGTGAATGTTATTTGTGAACTAGCTAGACGTAATCCAGAAAATTATCTTGCTTTAGCTGCAATATTTTTTCGTCTTATGACAACATCAACTAACAATTGGGTGCTTATTAAAATTATTAAATTAGTAAATAAAATTTGTTTAACTATTTTGTTTTCGAACGGATTTCTTTTTCCTTGTTTGTATTTAGTTTGGTGTATTAACACCATTAGAACTTCGTTTAGGCAAAAAATTAATACAACTATTGGCAAATTTAATTCATAGTACTTCAGCTATGTCTCTTTGATATGAATGTATTAATACTGTGATTGCTAGTAAAATGAAATAAAGAGATAAATTTTAATTGAATACGTTTTTATTTAAGTTCTTGTTCCAATTTCATCGGATTTACCAAATCATAATGCTTCAATTCAACTATATGTACAAAAACTTCGAATACTTATCGAAGATTCAGATCGAAATTGTATGAAATATATTCATTATACAAAAAAAAAGAAAATTTTTATATTATCTTTTTAGTAAAATATCTTGGTTTACTTGCTATGTCGACTATCTTACATACACATCCAAAAAGTGTTCAATCACATAGTGATTTAATAATGCGTTGTCTTGATCTTCTTTCTCGAATGGTAAGAAAATGAATTATTAGCTAAAAAATCAATGACAAAAAAGTATTCAAATATGAAATAATCAATTCGATAGAAAAAAGATATTAAAAATAACAGATGTTCAAACAGATTGGCGAACTTACTTGTTATTTTTTTAAAATTTTTTTATAAATTCGTTTTTTTTCATGAGGAAATGTAGATATCGAGGTATGCAGTGTTCGTGCTATGTGAATACTTACTTTTTTTCGACTAACCTCTTTTCTACCAATAGAAAAAGGTTATATTAATTTTCGTGAATAAGTATTGCAAGAAAAAAATTCAATCGTGATATTGATTTTATTCGTTGTAGAAAAATGAAAAAAAATAAGCAAACAAGAAATTTCTTATATTTTGAATATGAGTGGATTAATAAATCGATATATATAAGGAGATTTTACTCACTTGTACTGTAGTTAGATATCTAGTTCTAGTTTCTCCTATGATATATTAACATCATACGGTTATCATAATTGCTTAGAAAAATATCTTTAAAATTGCGAACATTTTCATACGTCAGAAGCTCGAAATTGTTTCTGATTTACATTTATATTAGAGGACAGATTTTAATGTCTTTAATTAGACCATTAAATACATTGAAAACATTCTTATTATTATGTTAATATTTTATCTTTTATTTTTGCCAGACAGTGACCTGCTGTATAAAGTCAATAGATGTTTGCATAGTAGTGTCACGTTGATAGAAAGTACACACAGGTAGGGACAGACAAACCATGCCAACAGAAGGTAGATCTCTATTTGATGATGTCGGCGCCTGGATCTATAGATTTTCGATCAGAAAACTTGGAAAAATAATAGAAAATCGATAGCCGGACTTTACTAGTTTCGATCAGAAGAGATCGTAATTGAACAGAGCTAGCCGTCAGATTCCTGCTTCCAAGTTCTTACAATTTTCCGGCCAGTATCGGCTCGTATTTTATTACATAGAAATTGTGCTTTAGGACAGCTTTTCTACATAAAAAGTGTTATGAATTAATATGAAATATTTAGATGTATCATTAAAAATAAAGGTTAATATGATTTATGTTTATTAGTCTATGGATTTCATTCGTAATCATTTTACTGTAGTTTTTATCTATTTTTGAAATACAAAAAAATGTTTATTGATACAAGAGTTTGCCATAAAAACAATCTATTAGTTTCTACTCAGGTCAAGAAATACGTGCCATTTCCAGCCAAAAAGCTCGAGAAAATGATAGAAACTTCTTACCATTTTACCGAGTTTTCTGTCGAAATTCTTTTAAATAAGTAGAGTGAAACATGAATAACTGATCTCTTTAATTTATTGAGCTTTTGTTTGAGATGGTATGAGAATTCGATGGAGAAAAACTATTAATAAAAAAAATCTGATCATTCAATATTTGAAAAAAAACTTAATTTTGATTATGAATTTTGTTTTTGTTCAGGTGACAAGAAAAGCTCTAATAGATATCGTACATAAATTAATGATTCATATGGATAAATCTGAAGGATCACTTTATCGAGATGAATTACTTTCAAAAATAATTGAAATATGTAGCCAAAATGATTGTCAACATATAACTAATTTTGAATGGTTTACATTTTTTTAATTTTTATTAATAAAAAAACATTATTTATCACTATAGATAGATTAGTATATTGGTTAAATTAACTCGTCTTGAAAGTACAAAACATGGTAATCTCGTATCTTTATAAATGCTTGATGTTGTTGTTCGTGTTGAATCTATTCGTTCATTTGCTTGTAATCAAATGATAGAAATTTTTCAAAAATAAAATCACGAAAAAATTTTTTTATTTCAGGTTTTTAGACAATTCTTCTTGAAAATGCTTATGTTTTTATTAATGATTCAAATTCTACAACTGTCTCCGAAGTTTTATATGCTGCTGCATGGATTTGTAGTGGATTTTGTTCGTAAGTCAATAACGAAAAACAAAATTAATTGAAAGAATTCTTGTTTTTCTTTTCTCTCAATCTGTTTATTATCAAAATATTTTAAAAATTATAATATATTTAATTCAATCATCGAATAATGATAAAACATTAATTCAACAACTTCTTTCATTAACAATTGATAAAATGCCTCTATTTTTATCAAGTGGTGATGTCGAAGCACAAGAACGAGTAGGCCATTTTTTATTTTTTCTTAAAATATCAAATATAAAAAAAAGAAATTATTTATCTAGGCCAAGTGTTATTTTACATATTCTTAAAACAACATTATAATTAATTAAAAAATCTAAATTTAATGTTAATGAATTATCAGTATTATTTGATGGTGTTCTTTATCCAATTGCTGCTAAAGCTCAACGTTTTTGGATTTGGATGGTTGGATAAATGATCCTCAATCAGACAGTGAAGATGAATCGATAACAACAAGTTCATATTATGATAATAAAGGTTTATTTTATGATGATAATGGAGAAAATTCTAATTCTAATTCACACTCTGGTGATACATTAAGTTATCAAAAATCGAAAAAATATATTGAATCAACTGCTGAAGAATTAGAAAAACAAGGAGAATCAAAAAAACAAAGTGAACAAATGAATCCATTCTATTTAAAAGATTCAAAAAAAAACAAAATTGACACAAATAAGTTTTTAGTGTTAGTGATTTATTATGAATGTTTCAAATCTTTTGATTATCGTCTATGTTGACATAAGAACGTCGAATTTGTCATCAGATATAATGGACAAGTTTTTATCATAGCTTTATCTTAAGATAGGAGCAATAACAAGATCTGAAACATTCACAAGAAACTAACCTCGTTAAGGTCTGTCTGTATGGAGAGTCCCAAGTCAAGATTCGAAAATTAGTTTTCATGATATTCCTGTGAGGCATCATGGCTAGAACCTATCGAATTCAAAGTTTTCGGATCCGAAACTAATCCGACAGGCTCTAACTACGACATTCATTTAAAAACTACGGTAAAAGTGCAATATCTCGGCATCTATAAGCTACAGACTTGAACTATCTTCCGGATATTCTTAGCTCATTTGATTCTATAGAATACAAATAGTCTAATTCAATCCTTGAATTTATCTTTAATATTATATACTGAAACAACTTCGGGTACTATAAATGGTAATAATTGTATTGAATTAACATTATCACAAAGAACGAATGCTATTAGTTCACAATTAACACTATCTGATCAATTATATCGTCAAGCAAAAATTGATGAAGAAAATCGACGTTTAAAGAAAAAAATCGAAAATCGATGCAAAAGTAATTCATGATAATGATGATGATATTTATTCAACTGTTAAAGTAACACGTGATGGCGAATTGCCAGAAAATGCCACAGAAAGTGGAAATAAAGGTAATGATAATGATGTGCGTGTTGAAAAAAATAAAAAATATGGTCCATATCGAGCACTTAATATTGACTTAAATGAAAAATCTATTCAATCGATTCCTACACTATCACCATTGACATCTCAATTAAAAGAATCAGTTCCTAAACAATTTGGAACACCTCCTATATTAACCCAAAAGCCAAAACAAAAAGTCTAAGAAAAAGAAAATAATTGAAAAACAAGAACAATTATCAACATCGAAATCTAAACACAAACGAGAACGTAGTGATGATAAAGAATTATTATCACCAGCTGATGAAGAAGGAAATGGTCCAACTTCTACACCTTCTCCTCCTACTACTACTACTGCAGAGAAAACCAAAGTAAAAAAATCATCATCAGAAATAACAACAATAGTATATACAAATACTTCTGTGCCACTCCTATTGGACATTATGACGGATGATATTCATCCAACAAATCAATCTGAGTAACAATAAAATGAGCAAGATACTTATAAACTAGCTGCTCAATCTGACAATTTGACAACTGTAAATTCAATAATTATCCTAGTTTAACAATAGATGAGGAAACTTCGCTAAGTGATAAAATGCTTTTGACATGAGTCTTATCTCATTAGGTGGTAGACTCTATTGAGATTAGAGAAAATCTTCGTCTGGTCACCTTTAAAAAATTTACTTTTGAGATATAAAAAAGATGGAGTTCGCTTTTCTTCGTAACAGAATTTTCAATATTGATGTTTCAGGATAGAAGATATTCGGAAGTTTCTAACACTTACACAATGAATTAATCCTATCAAGAACTTGATTTTGAAGATGATCTGAAGAGAAATTCACTAAAATGACTATTACGCAAACAAAAAAGATCCATTCAGATTACAATCTAAAAAAAAAGTCAACTTTGTCCATCCCTAACTCACACCAACGTTAGAGATATTACTTTTTTTACCATTAAAATCATTTGAATATGCATTTAAACAATCTGTTATAAATTTATTTTTAGGAATATTTGATTAACCCAGATCCATTAATAGCTCAAGTGGATGCAATATTTTTTTTTTAAATCGAACATCATTTATTATTGATCATATTAATATTCATGTTATTGATAGTATGAGTTCGAAATTATTAAATACAACAAGTGCAAATTTAATATCATTTCCATCTATGAGTCTTTTTCCTAATTCACAAAATTATATTCATATTTATTTTTTTCAATAAATGCTATGTCATTTTCTCAAAACTTAAAAACAACATCAACTTATTCTATAAATGTATGTTGAACAAATAAAAAAAATGCTTGTTATCTTCATTTTTGACAAATATATTTAGAAATTAAATATAATTGAAATAGATCGAATAGAATTCAAACTTAATTTACCTTGTTCACGATATTTACGACGAAAGACTATTGATTCGCAAGAATAAGTTTTCTTTTATTAGGTTATTTAACATGAATATATATTTTTTTTAAAAGTATGGTATTCGCTGATTTGATGAATTCGGGTACATTGACATGTCAATCACAACTTCGTATTCCATCATCTAATCAAGATTTTCTATCGATAATTAATAAAATTTGTCAATCTTATTGGTTAACTGATTAGAAAACAAAATTGAAATTTATTTTATATCCAAATTCTTAATTTAGTTGTCGAAAAAATTAATTCAGCTGTATCTTTATATGTTGAAACAATACTTGGACAACCGATAGCTTTTTTATTTAAATCAATAGTATGTCTATTTTAAGATTTTTATTAAAAATCAAACTAAATAATTTTTATTTATTTATTTCTAATCTCATGGAAGAAATAAAAACATCATTAAAATAATTTGTTTTTCTTTATTTCATTTCTTTATTTTTATTTTTATTCCATGGACAATATCTATATAAAGCGAAAAGAAAAATAATAATTGACAAACAGTGATCTCTTTTTTTGCATCTATTATCTTTATTTACCAAAAAAAGCAAAGAAAGAAAATCTCTTATGTATCAGATAATAAGTATATTTGATCTTCTGACACATAGAAAATATGTTCTTTTTTTTTGTTTTGTTCTGAATGGTTATAGTCAATTCTTATGTGTATGCATATTTTCTATTTTTTATTTGCTATAATTCGAACATTATATATATTTATAAAAAAGAGGAAAATTAATGATAAACTATTTAATCATTCTCGACTGGTTTCAAATGATTAGAAGAAAGAAATTTTTCTTTTTTTGTGAAGCTTATTAAATTTCCAAGTATAATGAGTACCGATGAGCGGGATCAATCGTTTATTATCCCGATCTTGACTAGAAAAAGTTTTTTAGTTCTGATTTCACACTTAGTAACGCATGTACTAGAAAAATATGCAATATAATATTCTAGTAGTGTCAATAAACTCGAGACATCTTGGACGATCCTCATGACTTCTAATATCCTGTCTCTTCGAGGATCATTACTTTTTTTTTAAACTCACTAGTACCTGATCGGTTCTGTTCGTTTACATGTTTGACAACTCTGTTGTTTACGAACAAAAGAAGGATTATTTTACTATGAAAATTAGAACGGCAAATATTGCAGTGATCTTTACTCAATAATTTTTTGCATAGACTTAGAATACATGAGTCGCAACAACATAGCATGATCATAATAGATATCATTCACCTAAACTTTGTATGGAAATAAAAAACGCCTTATAAATATTGTTTACGGCTGTAAATCCAACGACAATAATTTCAGCATGCGGATTTGAATATTAGCATTGGTAACAGGTGATATAAGATAATTGTTCTGATTTTTCTTTGATTTCTAAAATAGAAATATTAGCTAGCTCACAATTATGCAAATGACAGAAAAGGATATAATTGATATAAGGTGTGGATATAGATGAGGCTCTTGTCTTCACTCGCACACACACCATATATACTTTCATAATAAAATATAAATCTTACTACCTAACCTAACGTTCAATAGCGGTGTAACTAGGATTCTTAGACCAATGGGCAAACTCTCCTATGTCGAAAAAAACCAATGGGCGAAATGGGCAAGGTTTTTATTGATAGGCCCGAAACTTTTTTCACCCAACAAAGTACTAATAATGTAAAAACAAACATGTATAAGGTAGTGTTAAGGATTCTTCAAATATGTATCTGTACAGTGTCACTCTATATGTATATATATCTATACATATATATGTTCGTGTGTATTCTCTTGATCTGTGCTCTTGTTTCTCTTCTCTACTTTCACGTGGTTAGTGTTTTCCCAATAAAACCGAATTCATGTTCACCCAAACTTACAGTTATAATCAGAGTTGCTAGATCTTCTAAAAAGTCTGAAATTTTTCTGAAATTTGAACATGTTTCCGATTTTTTTCTGATTTGTTGGCGAATTCCAAATATTTTTAGATGGTGGCTTTACTAGCGAAATCAATCGCAAGTATAACTCATTAATATTAAGAATCAATATTTCACTATCTTCTTTCCTTTCTTAATCTTTTGTAGTTCTAAGTTCTGCAGTCGCTGACGAGTGCTGGAATATATCAGTAAACTTTTGCGTTGCAGAACTTAACAATAAATGCTAATTATTTTTTTAAACGATTTTGTAAACATATTTTAGCTCAAAAAAATTTTATTGAAGAAATTTTGAACAAAGGAAAACTTGAAAAATAATATGGGGTTTATGTTCTATAATCTTTATTATTTTTCGTAAATAGAATTTGAGCTTCGTAAAAGAATCTGACATTGTGTGTCTTTTGCTAGCTTGGTTTTTGTATTAACTAACAATTGAAGACCATGCAACGGCAAATTAAGAAGATTACTCATAGCTGAATCAAATGAATGCTCTTACTCACAGATCAACTAAAACGTTAGCTGTCACTAGCGTACAAAGACCGAGATGTTTAAATTTTAACATATTTACAGTCTGTCATGTGCCCACACTACGAAATTTCATCGACCTTTAGTTCTCTTTTTTCGTCATGGTTGAATAGAACACGACTATTTACATAAGAAGAAGCAATATCACACACATTCAAAAGTAATTTGACAGCAATAAAAAATTTTTGTTTATTACCCTTATAATTAAAAAATAAATGTTGTCTTAGACTTCGTATAATTTGCTTTTTAATATGCGTGATATTGTTTTCTCTTATGTAAATGATTCTACTCCATTCAACCATGACGAAAAAAGATGACTAGACGTTGATGAAATTTCATAGTGTGGGCACATAACAAACTGTAAACTTCTTGAAATTCGAATATCTCGGTGTGTGTATATATTATTGGCAGCTTATATTTTTAATTAATTAGTTTGACAGTGAGAGCATTCATTTGATCCGACTATGATCAATCTCTTTAGTTTAGAGTACACGATCTATTACTCTAAGCTATATAATAGTTGTGTTGTCTCTCTTTACTATGACATACTTTTGGAAGCAAAGTATGAGTCTATAAAAGAAAAAAAAGTGAAGCCTTTTGTGCAAGTATGTAAACATGACAGTTCTTAGTCTGGAAAAAGTTATTCTTTCTGATTAGTTTCCGATTTCGGAAAAAAATTCTGATTCATTTCCTGATTTTAAGTTTTTCATCTAGCAACCCTGGTAAAAATACCAGAAGCGATTCTTTTCTTCGTTCTTCATAGAAAGAACAAGCAAAAAGTGCATGTATGATTCAGACGGAAGAAAACAAATAGAGTTACTATCTAATTCAAAAATAAATAAACAATTCTGTAAAAGTAAAATTACAATGGGCAAATATCCAAATGAAATTGGCAATTGTCCATTTGCTCCTCCCTTGACTACATCACTGTGATATTGTACACTTATTATCCATAATTCCGATTAGTTGACATATGTTGCCAATTTTATGAGTTCTATTCAATAAAGTTTTAATTTCTTATTCTTGTGCTGCATTTCTCAATATTTGATATTCTTATGTTTTACAAAGTTATCGCAAAACATTCAAATACTGTAATCTTTTTTTCATAGGTCTATAAGAATCAGTAACACTTTAATTAAAGATAGTCACATTATATATGCTAAGTTATCATCTGATGTTCATTAACGTCGTCCTCTTGTTGCTTATCCAGTCATAAGAGCAGATTCAATAGTTCTTACTGGCCTTGAATTATTACGTAAAGAATATTAGTGTAAGGAATCAAATATGATTTTTGATACAATTATTTTCTACACCTCACAGACTTAAATATATGTTGCAGTTGAGTTTGGAATCTAGTTGAGTTTGGAATCTAGTTGAGATTGGAATCACTTAGTTCACTTTGTTTGTTTAAAAATTTTTTTAACACATATTCAAGAAAACTTGTTTGTTTCTTGTCAAATTTATATTTACTATTACTTCTCGAACAATAAAAAGTATCTTCGTACTGTTATTTTTTGATGAAAAGCCATTAGTCATTCTATGTATTGTTTTCCTCTAAAAGTAAATCTTACTCATCATTTTCCTTATATTGTAGTTACTATATCAGTACTCG